ACTATATAATTGCTTATATAAATTAATCAATAAAGATATGAGCAAGACCTCACCTTAATACCAAAAAAAAAAAAAAATTTTTAGCTATCAGAAAAATAACTAACTTTTGTTGAAGTATTATATTACATATAAGTATATATATATATATATCACAAATCAGATATTAAATTAATATACAGTACTCTTTTAAGATATCTAACATGGCTTTCAAAGCATAGTTTTATCTAATATTTGATAATATGTAAAAATATAATCTGTTTTTTTAAGATTATATTTTGATATTTTGTTATAAGTGTTTAAACTTATAAATAGTATGCTTTTTTATAAAAAAGCTACACATACTATATAAGGCAGTTTGTATAAAATTCTATATATTTAAATTCTATAATTTTGACATATAGAGTAATTTATTCATAGAAATTTATTTTAAAAGCTATATATATTATCTTTATTTCTAATTTTGATCTTTAGAAACTTTATATAATATTATATATAGTATTTAAAAATTTAATAGTTTTTTTTTTAATATATCATTATTCTAGTTTTTTTTGTTTTGAAAACAAAATAAGTAGCTATAATAGCCAGAGTTACTTATGCTAATAGACTTTTAAACTTTTAAAGTTTTTTAGCTTTAATTATTTTGAATAATTTTCTGCTATTGCATTTAATTGAATTATTTATATCAGTACAGTTTTAATATAATAAAAATATACTTTCTAAAATAGCCTTTTGATTTTTAGACTACTATACAAATAACAAATAGTAAGATAGATTTTTGCTAAGTAGTATAGTTTCTCTATCGATGAAGCACATGTTTAGGAATTATTAACAAAAACAAGTCTAAATATTTTCTAAACATGATTATTGACTGTATTTTTTTTTTTCTTTATTAATTTCATTAGAGTAAATATCTTCTAATTCATTATTTCTTCTTGACCACTTTAGTTGTTTAGTTTATTATTACTACTTTCTTTATTTTTAATATTGTTAATACCTTCAATATCAATATTGTTAATAACTTGATTCAAAAGTAAATAGCTAGAACAGACAACTAATTCTATTTTATTGCTATCATAATCATGTATGTCAAGAGGCTTATCTATTTCATAGTATTGTTCGGATAGTACTACAACTAAAATAAATAATAATTTGCGAGTATCATTAAATATAGGTTCACATATATATAAAATAGTATCTAAAAATTGCTTAAATATATGACAATTTTGATTTAGTAATTTGTTTATACTAAATAAATACTATAGTTTATTATATTCTATACAAGTTATAGTAAGCTTAACATTTTTAATAGATATTGTAAAATGACAAAAGAGTATTGTATAATATAATTTTTTTTTTAGTTGTTTTTTTTTATTATACTTTGTCTGAAGTATTGCTTGCTAGTGTGATAGTTTATGCTCTTCTGTTGTCTTACGACTATAAAGCTCTTCAAAAGATTTATAATAAAAATCTTCTTCTGAGACTAGATCAAAAATATAGAAAAGTTAAGAAAATATTTCTGGTAGGCTTTGAAGTAATAAACAAATTTGATATTTTGTTTTTCTACTTTTTTTTTTTTTTTTTTTTTATTTTATTTTATTTTTTTTTAATATTAAAGGTGACCACTTAGGCCATTGGCATGAGCTTTATTTCAGATAGTTATGATATTATATCAGATTCACGAGGATACAACTAGCCACACGTACACCTTTTGGGTATCTAATTTAAGTAGTCCGCCTG